GGTACCTGCAAACATCCAGTACAATACAGACTTTTCGAAACAAAACCAAATTTTGATCAAGGGTAACTAGTAAAGGCAGAAGAAAATGTTAGTATTGATATTCCATAATAAACGTCGTAGGTGCTGACATATCTAGCTAGAACTCCAATAAAACAAAGAGGGTGTTTCGTGTTGTGCCACTGCAGGCAGCCCATCAGAAAGAAAAAAACGGGATTCACAACGGCTGATATGAATTTACAGTAGGAATGGTCAGTTTTGGCTATGCGATGGGAGTAGTTAATACATTCCATCTGTAGTACCAACTAAACAACGCCCTTTTTACTCATCCTACTGAACTTCGATGGATTTATGGCAGCACGAAAGGCAAAAACCAGGTTTTTGGGTACTTATAAACACCCAATTCAATACAACCTCCATAATATAAAACCAATTTTGATCACAGGTAACTAGCGAAGTCAAAAATGTCTACTATCGAAATTAGTAAGCAACAAATTATGAAGGCTGATATCTATAGCAAGCTAGAACTCAGAGAAAAAAAAGTTGGCATGTCAAAGTGGCCATCTCCTTTTCAAAGTACATACGTACATACGCATCGCTGTCCACTGACCACCCTGTAGGGCTCTACACGCGCGAGCTCCCTAGTTTACGAACAGATATACGAGTATATCCTTAACCACATCCACTGATGAGTATGCATAAACTGCAATCGTGTTTCATTTTCAACCAAAGCGCGGATATTGTGCATACTGATCCGTACTAATATAAATGTAAAAGTGTGTATGCATGCTTGTATCTTCGGTTTGCACGCCAACGCGGTTGAACCGATTATAATGAATTTTAGCATATATAGATTTGACTTTAGAGACGGACATAGGCTACCTTTCACTGTGAAAATTAGACTTGAAGGGGTTGCAATAAGAGGTAACAGCTACTATGGGGAAACTATTCTTTTTAATGCTAGACATAAAGGTATGGGTTTCATATGCTAGGGTTTTCGTAGTAGTGTAAAAGGACAATTTTTTAAGATCCACCCCTTAGAGGGTAAAGTGGGGATCGACACTTTTCAAGTTTTTGTAGAGAAATTAGATTATTTCAAATTAATCAAGCCTAAAAGTAGGAGTATGTCTTGTTTTTAGTTTTATCTTTAATACTATTATTAACAAAGGGTTTCAAGGACTAAGCCCTCATGTTGTATGTGGGGAACATTATAACTTTTGAAGTTTACAGAAATTTATTCCGAGCACTGCTTGACTTATGAACATGAATTTTGGAAGAGAGGTAGCTTATGGACAGGAAAATTAATAATAATAATAACGGATTTTGTGGCAGGGCCAAATTAAGGGATTGAAGAGCATTTGTAGGTTTTAAATTTCTTGGCGTTTTCTAATATCCAACAACTGGCAACGATGAGATGCTATGTCTAGTAGACTTATATTAAGAATGGACTGTGTAACCGGAAATTTGTGACTCCATTAGTCCACTTAGATTTCACCAAGACATTAGGTACGATAAACCACGGACTTTTGATAACTAAATGCAAATATTATGGTTTGTGTAATAACTCGTTGAAATTGTTAAGTAGCTTCCTCACAAATAGGTCTCAAAGAGTCGTTAGTGATACAGATTCTTCGCCTGAATGGTTGATTTCCTCGGGAGTACCACAAGGTTCAGTGAGTAAGGTACCGCGATATTCATTTTTTTGCAGACGATTCACAGCTGTATTTGGGATTTGATCACGGTAACATGAATACCACTGAATTTCAGATGTCAGAAGATTTGAAATCTATTGAGATTTATGCCGCCGAACATAACCTTCAGTTAAATCTATCTAATTCTAAAGTATGAGTTTTTTCTCCTAAAGGACTTAAATGTCCTATTAAAACTAACTTCATTATGAGATTAAATGACAGTGTTATTCAAATTGAGGAATCAGCAAAAAACACTTGGTATATTTTTGACGAGAACCTTGAGTTCATACCTAACGTAAATAACATGACTGAAAGATGCTTTGCTGTCCTACGTCAATTATATCTTAATATGCAAATATTTGATTTTAGTACTAAACAAATTCTATGAGAAACTATGATAATGTCAAAACTTACTTACTGCCACTTAGTATATCATCAATTTTTAGATTATGCGAAACGTTTGCAAAAATACAAAATTCCTGTTGTAGATTGATTTTTAACCTACGAAAGTATGATCATATTCGCTCGTACTTTGCACAACTGAATTGGTTAAATGTAACAAAATGATTTAAGTCTCACTCATTATGTTTTGTGCAGAAAGTTCTACCCACATCATTTCCTCCATTTTTAAAGGACAAGCTAATACTCACTCAAGAAATATCCGTTTTGTGAATACGTTAAGCATGCCTCTCCACAAGACATCATTCTTCCATAAGTGCTTTACTTATAATGCCATTATCATTATACTATATAATACATTAGTACCGTCTAAAGTTTCTGAACTTCAACGATTTCAAAAAACAAGCCAAGGAAATCAGTTTTCAACAACAAATTTAAAGACAATCATGAGACCTCAATTATATTATGAACATGAACTATGCAGGTACTTTTAAAACAATTTTGATATCACAGGTGGATTTAGGTGATATTTATATAATACTACTATTTAGTAGGTACTATAATATACACATTTTATTCTGTTTATATATTATTGATGTTAATTTATTTTTGTTAGGGGTGAACTGGCAGAATAGCTTTAAGCTAAGCTTCGTCCTAAATAAAGAGTTATTAACAGCTAATTGATTATAAAAAGAAGTTGGGCTGATACATGAAGGCATTCTTGCTCTGTTGGCAGTGTATCCCTCGGAAGGTCTTTCTTGTCATTCTACCCTGAGCGGAGACCAGCTGCGGCATACAGTGCCAACTTTTTTATACATTTACGTTCAACACATTCTGTATTTGTGAGTTGTTGCGAGTTATTCCTTTAATAGTCCTTTGCAGCGCACAAACGAGCGACCCGAGCAACTAACCCCAAGTTACAATCGTGACATATTTGGTGGAGGCTTCGTTTTTTATTAGTCCACCTATATGTACGTGACAATATTATATATCTGTTTTCTTGCTGTCAGGTATTGCTTCAGTGTTCCTCCCAAAACACACCTAAGATTTTGTTTGAATCCGAGTTCACATACCTCGATTAACCACCAAATTCCCAAATTCTGAAAGACAATCAAAATTGGGTGATAACTTCATGGAGTGAGGAATGAATAAAGTAAATTAAATGTCCAAAATTGTGTCTGGCAACTTATAGTGCTATTTAAAAAAATTTGATCTTTGAATGGATTAAGTTAAGAAGCAGAAATATTCGGGGTGACGAATCTGATGACGCGCGTTGATGACACTGCTGCCAATGATTATTTATTTATTGATTTGCGATTAAGAATAAACAAGCAATCAACGTACTCAATTCAAATAGACAATAAAGTTTACGTTATCAACAAATTCAATTAAAATATTTAAAAGCCATCACCACCTCGGATAAATAGATATAAGAAAATATAGTATATGTTTGCATTATAGTAGTTTTTAAAAACAATAAATACATAAGAAAACAAACAGTGCAAAGAACGGAAGATACCAGAAGGTTGCCACATATTCCTGGATGCTATAAAAACCACAGGTTTACAATTTGACTTCATTTCTAAAGGAGTTATAACAACAAAGTTGTTAAAAAATGACACACAGTAGTTCTATGGACATTTTTGAATGAAGGCAGTTGAATGAAAGTAGCGTACATTTTTACAAAAAAGCTCACATTTAAGAATGTAGATCCACATTACCGTCAGTACTCTGTTAACTGTGAATTAGGGACGGCAACTTGCAAGTTTCTTTAAATTGAAAATTAATCTCATAATGCGTTTCTGACTAACCAATCTCTAACTCTATTATTATTTTTCTCCAGATCATTATGTTGTAGAGTATGTGGCAATATGCGAGGTTACAATATAGACTCAGCAGTTCTTTAAAGTCCAGAATCATTTGGTACTGCAGTATGGCTTAGAATGCTTTGTCCAGCTGACTACACATACCCAGGCGAACAGGAGTGATTATCGTGTATTCATGTCTGCTTGGACGAGGAGTGAATGAGGTTTGCATAGACTTTAACTTCGTATGGATGGTGGGTCTTGAAACCCAGAATAACTAGAGGCATGGAAATATCTGACGTGTACGTATCACTAAGTCATCGAAATGCCTACATCTATTTCCCCTCGCTTACATACAAGCATATACAGGGTGTCCCAGAAATAGATCATGGTATCGTTTTAAGGTAAACGTGTGGATGTTCTTCAATGGCGAAATTTATTTAGACTTTTTACAAAATCATGTACTAAATTTATTGGAAGACGTGACATTAAGCGTTTACTGAGAAGTGGTTCAGCTAGAGAATATCTTGATGCAGATTTTTTGTTGAGGAGCGGTGAGAGAAAAAGTTTACTTGAAGCCAATCGAAAGTATAGCTGAGCTATGAGAATAACGCAAGCAGCTGATTTTGTTAATAACGTCTGATAACCCCATCATTTTTAAGATGTCAAGTTTGAATTGCTTCAGAAGAAAGAGGGTCTGAACATTTATTGTGAACTTAATAAATACACTCACTAATTAATACGTTTCTATCTGTCTTGCTGTCGCTGCGATGAATGGCACTGTCCGTCCTTCCCTCTAAGAAAAAAATTAAATTTGTAGTAATGGGAACTAAATGATTATAGGGTGCAGATTTTTCACGTTTTTTTTAAAGTTTATAATTTGAAAAGTACAGTTCAGTTTATATTTTTCTGCTAACTATTATGCATTGGCCTGTCCCCGGTTCCGGTTTGATGTCGGCTTCTGCAAAATCTTGCATAAGCACACATTCCTCATTAAGCTAGTCAGTAGCGATTTTTCATTATTTTCCGCTGGAACCTTGTTCTGAGGTGCGAGGTCTACCTGCTTTGATTTTGGCTCAGCCTTCAGGTATAATCATACATATCCTACCTTTTATTTTCTTCTCTTTCCAAGCATTCCTGCAGAGACTCCAAGTTCCTCATCCCGAATCCTGTGACCAACAAGGAGCAGCTTGGCTCTACGTCTAAAATGCTACCCGATTTGTCCTGGGTAATGACTTTATCGAATAGCTTAGTTTGATCCAACTTCTGCGTTTGGTAGTCTAACAAGGTTGGTTTGGGGTACGTTTTATCGAGCATTGAACATTCTGCGTCCCACAATTCAGCTTCGGCTGGGAGTTCCTCGTACTCTCCAAATTCTGGGAAATTATGTTGTTTAGTGAAACAACCTGAGAAAACAGTACAATCGACAGAGAAGTGGAGAGAGCTTTGTGAAATAAAATATAGCAGATATAATTCTAATTGAAACAGCGAAAAAGCTATCAAAGGAAGTGTGGTATCTATACGTATGTAGATCAGCAAGAACAATCGAATTGGTGAACAGTGAACCAACTGTGATGAAGCAATGAAATCTCCATGGGCTACTATGCTTGGATACTATGTATTTACATCACTGATCCTATATAGGAGTTTCTAATTTTTTTTACGACTGTTGCTTTATTTAGTAAACATGCGGGTCACAATATGTTTAATCTGGACATTGTCTTGAAAAGCAAGACCAACACAGTATCAGCATGCTAACATAGGACAGATATCTACTGCAATCCTGGATATAATAATAATAATAATAATAATAATAATAATAATAATAATAATAATAATAATAATAATAATAATAATAATAATAAAGGTGAAAGGCTACCTACATCCGGAATCGGAGGGTTTTCTATGTGCTATTCAGGATAAGGTTATTCGAACTAGAAACTATGAACGCCATATACTAGGCCTGAATACACACGACGTATGTAGAAAATGCCATACGCCAGGTGAAACAATAGAACACATCACCTCCAGCTGCAACATGTTGGCCAATAGTGCTTACTTATCCCGGCATAATCAAGTAGCCAAAATAATACACTCCACGTTAGCTCAAAATTATAATCTCATTCAATCAACCGCGCCATATTATAAATATACATCATTCCCAGTACTCGAGAATCAGTCGGCCCTATTGTACTGGGACAGGCCAGTCATAACCGATAAAACAGTTGACTATAACCGGCCAGACATACTAATGATCGATAAAAATAAACGGAAAGCATACATAATTGATATCGCAGTTCCACTCACAGTAAACATAATCAGAACCGAATACACCAAGGCTGAAAAGTACCAAAACCTTGCCATTGAAATCAAAAACATTTGGAAACTATCAGAGGTCTGCATAATACCAGTAGTACTGTCTGTGGTAGGGGCAATCTCTGTAAATCTCCACTCTCACTTAGAGAAAATCAAAGTTCCAGCGCATTTTATTGCATTGATGTAGAAAGCCGCAATCTTGCAAACATGTCAGTTCTTCGCAATAGGCTGAGGTGAATTCCTCCCCTGTTGTGTACATACCCCGTGTGTAACGGTGAAAGACCAACCAAAAACGAATAATAATAATAATAATAATAATAATAATAGTAATAATAATAATAATGTTTATTGGTCCAATTACAAAGCTTTCATATAAATAATAACGGCAATGTCCAATAAACATAATATACAAAAAAGTGTTTACCTGTGCTTGGGCTTTAACCGAAGCTGAATTATATTAATACAACAAATTTTCTATAAGTATAAATTTGCATCACTTTATTATTAAATTACGTATAGGTTTTTAGTGTCAATAAACTTATGGATTTGTAGCCTTGGTTGATTTAGGATCCATAATTTTAATTCAATTTTTAAACGTTTTTTACATTTTATATGTTCAAAGTTTACAGGAATAACATTATAAAATTTTGAGCATAGAAAATAGAACGATCTTTGGCTGATAGTTGAATTTAGTCTAGGAATTAGTGCAGAGGTTTCCTTGAATCGCGTTTGATGGTTGTGGCTGATAGAATGTAACAATTTTCAATTTTTTGTTAAATATATTGTATGATAAAAATAAATTTGCCGGTAGTAGAAAAGCTGAAATTCATTGTAAATATTTTCTGTGGGATATCATTCCTTTTTGTTCGACATAACTTTCAAAATCCTCTACTGCGTAATTTCAATCATTTTATAATAATTATTCATGAAAATATAATAAAGTATTTTTTGTTGACATTTACTGTTAAAATCCTTTCCGTGAAAAAATTTTTAACCTTTTGAAAATCTAATACAATTTTTTTTAAATAACTCCAATCTCTGTCTGAGTAAATAATTTCCGTATCGTCTGCGAAACCAATAATTTCTCCATTTTTTTAACATGAAAAGGTCATTAATATATAAATTAAACAGCATTGGACCTTGTGGAACTGCGCATCTAACACTCATATTTTCACTTGTGTACTGTTAGTTTTCATACATTGTTTCCTATTTTTCAAATAACTTTTCATGAGTTGGTAAGTGGCTCAACGAAATCCTGAATTTTTCAAGGTTCTTAATAATTTTTGATACGTAATGTTTTGGTCAAGTCTACAAAAAGGCATGCTGTTGACTTATTCTTATCAACGTACTTGTAAATTTTGGTTGTTAAGTGCATCTTGAGTTGATTTTGTTTCCTGGAATCCATATTGCTCACCGGATATGAGGTTGTATTTTGCAATAAAATGTGCAAAGCGTTTTTTCAAAACTTTTTCAAATATTATTGTAAAATTTGTCGATACTGAAATTGGGCGATAATTACAAGGTTTCTGTTTATGCCCAGATTTAAATACAGGTTTTATTATTGCGTTTTTTAATTGGGTCGGGAACATTCCTCTTTCCATGCAGGTGTTTATAAGATATGCTAATACTTTACAAATCTAATAATTTATTATTTATAGTTAGTTGTCTACTTTAAAGCTTTGAGTTTTGAAACTACCTTACATGTAAACAAGGAGCCACAATACATGCCCAAAAAGGCCAACGTGGTCGATCCAGTAACGAGAATGAATACTGTAGAATCTCAGTTCGATATACTAGGCAAAGGATATAGATGATTTCGGGATAACCCAATAATAATAGAATTGACTATTGAGACCTACCTGTTCTTGCCAGCATGTAATCCATTGCGCGTTTCCTATTCGAGACACTGGACGCTTTAGATGATTTACTGCCTCCTCGTGACGGGAACTTATCTTGGGTTGAAACAGACATCTCCAATTATCCTTTTAGGATTTACAAAGAGAAAAATGGAGATCGAATGTTATATAAAACTGACAGAACTGACGTGTACTGGTACCACAAGCTGTGGTACCTATATCAAACTACTACCACACTCTACTACTTCTACTGGGCATATGCATGAGTTTGGTAAAATAACCTAGTTTAATAGTGATCAGATAATACTTTTTACATCCATATGTGCTTTGTGTGTTGACTTTTGATTTAACTCATGTTAGTAGTTAAAGATAAAAATAACAGCTTTTCGACATGTCCACTTATATAAAGCCAAATAAGGACATCCAGCACATAGGCGTCCCATTGTCACTCAGAGGAGTGCTAAGTACTGACTATGCTATCTGCATTGACTCACTATGTAAAATTTATATTAAGCAAAGATTGAACAGGATCTGTTGGCATTCTGTTTCTGCGATTACAATGCTGCTTCATGCTTGTTCGCAATCATCAATCTAGGTCCAGTGATTTGGATACAGACGAAAAAAAATATTTTTTAAGTGTGGTGTTTCATTTCTTGTCCCCCATCAACTGTTTTTTCTTATGGACCCCATATTGAATTTTTCATACGTTAATAGAGCTTTCAATTATATATGTAAGGATGTATACTTAATCTGTCACACATTGACACTGAAATACATGTTTATTTTAAAAAACTAACATTTTCATGGTTGGCCTTGATAATGACACCTTATCCCTTGTTTATTCGATTACGTTATCAGGTAAGGTTTACTGCAGTTGCTGAGAAGCATGCTTAAAGAGTATTTAGATAACATGCCAGTTTATTCACTTGAAGAGGCGTTCTTTTTAGCACGACCGAGCCCTTCTACATTATTCCTTGGGAAATGTATGTATCGGCTTAGATATGACGGATACGAAATGTGCTGCAGCATCGCCAAACCGTTAACTTGCTCTAAGATGTTCATATCTGTTTCTCTCTATGTCTTCATTATTACCCTTGAATAAACAGAAGAGAGAAAGGAAAAGTTGCTTTTCATACTATGGGTTAAGATCAGCTACAGGAAAACTATTTTTTAAACATTGGATGTTTAATAATACCAGTTAATATCATGTTCTTAAAATAAATCAGGATTGATTGACTGGTGATATTATTAAAAAAATGAATGTCCGATGAGTCATAGGAAATACTGCAAAATTCCAATACGGAATCCATAAGAAAAAATAAATTCAGTCATGTAGGCCAAGAGAAAGCGTTATATCTAAATTCCAACTATATCCTTGTACAGGACAAAAAAGTGGCAATGTTATAATGTTATCCGACCACAAATAGCACCAAGAAAAAATAAAATCGATTTTGGGGACATTGTATGTTGTAAGAAGACGTCAATCCTCGAGATCAAAAACAAACACCCATGTCGGAAGAGCAGGAAATTGGTTAGTTTGAGAATACAATCTTAAATTTACGATAAATCCACCTTTCCTACAGTGATCTATATAAAAATGCAAAACATTTTCTGTAAATATCAATTTCGACCGTTGAAATTGATTTCGATGGTGCCTTGTAACGATATACTTGACTGTCTATGATAATTTTGACACTGCCATGATAATTTGAAAATAGAATATCAATATAATCAGATCTCAAAATTATCATAGCGAATCAAGTCTATCGTCACAAGGCGCCATCGGAATCAATTTCAACGGTCGAAACTCATTTAGAATCAAGCCCCCGATCTCAGTCTCCATTTCGACGTTACTTTTTATTCATATATTCTATTCCTATTTAATCTTCTTTCATAACGCAAAAAACAAAATTACGATGCTCATCCTGAAAAATAGCCAGTATAAGCTAGCTCTATTTACAAATTCACTTCCTCACGTGGACAGTTATCTTTTATATTTCCGTTTTTCTAAAAGCACATTCATTTATCTGGGGGTAATAAATTTTCGTTGGAAGACAAGCCTTTTAATTCCTCCTGGATGGTATCTGGAATAGCCTTCCGGCTGCATCTTATCGAGTTTCTGCTGAAAGTGTTTAGTGGCCAGCGGCGTGTTTCAATTTTTTGGAAGTTAGTGTTCTTGAGTATTCCTAAGATGTCGAGCTTGTGCCACAGTCTGTACCAGTATACGGGTATTGTAATTAAACGCACGTAGACGTCTGTGCAGAGTGTTCATGAACTTGGGACTTTTCTTTACACGGCGTATAGATAAGCGGTTTTTCCAAATAGCATATATACCAAAGTCTTAAGATATTAGAGAGATTAGACTCCACAAAAACAATCAAACCTATACCAAACCTAATCCGCGATCAGATCAAAAGTGCGAAGGTCTGACGCAAGTCAGTAGTCAACTCAGGCGCCGGTGGCGTAGATAAGCAAAACATTAATTTACAAATCGGTTCGAAAAAAAAAAAAAACAAAATGGCACACTCGTACAGCAATATCGAACTTGTCGACATGATTTTAATGAATGGTGTTTTCAAGATGCTACCGGTGCTCCGAGAGTGTATGCAGATCGCTTCCCCAGACGCTATCATGCGGGGCCGCAAGATTTGCTTACCTTGTACTCAGTAGTCTCCAAGATTGAAGTGTCACAAATTCTGTGTGATGATGGATTGTACCATTTTGTACAAGCTGGAGAGTTTCCTGCAAGAATTCATTTTTGAGGGTAGTTGTTGCACCAACATGAAAGTAATCTGGGATTGAAGTTGAAGTTCAACCTTCACCCGTAACGAAGTGAATAACTTCCGAAATACTCGTGTGTGGTTGTTGGAAAATTCTCACGAGACATCTTCTTTCAACATCTTCTGCCAACCTAAGGCACGGTAAATGGTATGACCATTGGACCTGGAGTCGGCTGGACGGTTTCGCTACTGTTTCACCACACAATAGCTTTATTACTTAAAGCATGGTTGTTCATGTACTTAGCTACCTATGTATTCATTTTGTGCTGTTGGTAGTAGTGAGTCGTGACATTGAACTCCAGATGAAAATTATATATTTATCACCAAACTGAATAAAATTTATTTAATTCTCAACTGGCTTGTTATATTCATTATGATCTGTATCGATTAGTTCCTTCTGATGGTATAACGGTGTTACAATTTTATGCAAAATAAACGAGGTACAACCTTGTATATTTTGAGCGTCACTTAATGACTGTGATGTGTTGAAGTATCTTGATATTTAAGAACTCCGTTCGCGGCTGCTTCAGTTTAAAAGAAAGCTTTTCTGGCTGAGAAGAGCTATGCAAGTTTTCCCCCGTTTCTAAGAAAGCTTGGCAGCTCTTGTTGTTACGCCATTGTTCTAAAATGCTTGTGGCGAGTTGCACTACCGCTCTACCACTTTCTAGCACACAATTTCAATTTAAAAGAGACCGTCCTGCCGCCAGCACGCCGCCGCTATCTAAAACTACCTGTTCGTCGACTCCATTATAACTTGATTTACTTCCATCCTTTTTCCCACTTTATCACCAGATCCATCCCGATTGTTTTACCGTGAAGGATTCAATTTGCCATCCTTAGATTTTATATAAACATTGGCAACGTGATATAGTGCTTTTGATAGAAATATGGGCGACCCGATTTATTGCTAACACAGCTGCATCCCAGTGACTGTGATCAGAAAGCGCTGAAGAATTACAAGTGATTTCTGACTCCATGGCCGATAAGTAAAAATGAAAAAAGGAACGGTAGGTGGCTCATTTAGGAGAAAGAAGCCATCACTGTTCATATGAATCTCAAACACTTAACTATAAACACTTTTGCAACGCAACCAATATTTGCTCATTTCTTTAATCAAAAAATCCTTTTCCCACATTTTAGTGATGTGCTTTTTAAGACTAGATGCGCCCGCGTCCTTTTCACGTTATTGCAAGGCACCTTATGTGACACTGTTTTATGACTGCCCGGTCAAGTTCATTCCAAACAAATTCAATCGCATTGAGATTTGGGACTGAGAAGGGAGCAACCCCTAACTTGCAATTGATAAAACAGTGTTTACACGGCTTACATAAGTATTTCCAATCATTATCTTTGTTGTAAATACATCTTGGTCCAAGAAGTATTCCCCCCGTCGAAACCACTAAATAAAAAGGAAGCCTATAATGTCTTCTTCCCTTGAGACTCAAGAATTCAATCAATTATGTGCAATAGACAAACGCCATTAAATGAGGAATCCCTCAAGACCACTGCGGAAGCGTATCCATGTTTCAAGGATGGAATTATGCAGGTTGCTATCGCTGCTTGGTGAACCGCACGGGTATTACGTAATTTGAAAAGTGACACTTTTGCCGATTTTTTTTGACATTATGCTGTTTTTTTACATTATGTAGGTTTTTCTACAAGATATTAACTAAGCACCTAGTTGTACGTGTTGCCTAAACGTCACGAGGCTCGTTATTAATCTTTGGCTCTGATGTGATGTAAAACCTGCTTCTGAGATGGCATTACTGGAGGTTTAAACTGTAAGTTGTATGTGTTGATGATATTACATTGGGTTCTTGTCTCAAATACATTTAATTGAGATTCAAAGCTAGAAATTGCTTGCGCATCCACTTTTTCTTATCCATCCTGGAAATTACATATGCAAATGTGCCGAAGTACAAAAAGGAGAGAGATAAGAAATAATTATTTTCACTGTACACTGTCGAATTACAAGCCCTATACATACTAACAGTAATTACACACAACACGGGCGCGGTGATGATTTCCCGTAATTCTCCTCAGTTTTTCGTAATTTATAACTTTGAACATAACCTCTCTTCAGAAAGCACAACATAAAAAATAACCCGTCGGGCACAGGCAAAAGATGTACTTCATTGGCAGCATATTCAGTAATGATTTTCTCACACAGCAAATATCACTGATTTTATACACATGCAGACCCATACAAATAATCATCCAGATGCAATCTTGCTATTCAACCAACTTTCTTCTCAGAGATAAAAACTACAGATAAAAACCATTTGGCATCACAAAACATATGCAACCAATAATGCGTTTAGTTTAGATGAGTGATTCCTCCTTAGATGGACATTCACAACGATCCTAGTGAGCAAACGTGGAATGAATGTTTGCGCCTTAAAAACTACCTAGTTTGCAAGATGACATCTTATA